CCATCTCGAAGTCCTGGGGAGGGGAGAGGGACCATCAGGGTCTCACCAGGGGTCTGGGCTGTGCAGCAGCGGGCGGGTCTGGCGCAGGGGGAGGGTCCCCAAGGATGAGGTTGCAGGGATGTGTCATGCACAGGGGTGGAACGACCCTTCCCAGGGGCATGCCGGGCTCCAGTGACCCCGTCACGGGGACAGCTGGGGGGCCTGGGCTCCCCCCCACCGCGGTACCGGCATGAACCATACGATTGTCTCACCCCTCGCCGTTTGATGGCGTCTCTCAGCAGCCCAACCACGTTGTTCCCTTCTGCGCCAGAGGCCTTGAAGCCCTTGGTCCAATTCAGGAGGATGCCCTGGAGCAAGGGGAAGACCAGAATGGGGCTGTGGGTGTAGCTGTGTCATGGGGACCCTCAGGTACTCATCCTGCCTGACCACCCCCTCACCTTGTCGATGTCCTCATGCCGCACGGGGAAGGAGAAGGTGAAGCCCAGGGGCAGCTTTTTGTGCTTCATCTGGTGCTTGTCCAGGAAATCAGAGATGCACTCGGAGATGTAGTCGAAGAGCTGGAAGAGAGGAGGTTCAGCCTTTGCTGGGGGTCATGCCCATCCTCCCACTGCCCACAGCTGGCCACTGTCCCCACCATGGGTCCCCCGAGCGTGGCCACCTCCCCACCACCCCTGGCTTCTGCCAGCTGGAAGGATGAGGGATGAGCCCACCAGCATCCCCACCAAAGCGTGGCACCGCCTGCCCCTGCCTGGTGACAAGGACCGTGCAGGAGGGGACAGGATGTGAGCCCAGCTCACCATCTCAGCTGTCCCTGTCATGGCATCCTCCGGGATGGAGTACATCTGGTGCTTTGTCTTCACTTTCCACTGCCCTTCCTCCCCCTCGCCCACTTTCACCAGCATCACGCGGAAATTGGTGCCACCAAGGTCCAGCGACAGGAAATCTCCAACCTCTGCAAAGCCAGGGAGGAGGGACACAAGGTGATGGGCTCAGGGGGGGTCTTGGCCTCCCGCACCAAGCTCAGCAAGGTCCAGGACACGGCAAAGGGGCAGGAGTGATCCTGCCCAGCCTGGCAGCGCCATACCTGAGCCCTCAGGTGTGGAGCGGACGTAAGTGGGCAGCATTTTGACAGAGGCTTCCTCGTGCGTCTCCAGCTTTAGCCCTCGGTCCATCTCTTTTTGCATCCTGTACATCACCTTCTTCAGGTCCTCTTCCTTCAGCCGAAACTCTGACAGGATTCGCTCCACCTGTGGTGGGATGGGAAGCATCAGTTCAGGACAGGGGATATGGGACGTGGGTGGCCTGAACCACAATAAATAATCTAAATTTTCCTTCCCCTGGACCTGGTTTTCCCCATCACCTCGAAATCCCTTATCCCATCTCTCTGCTATCCAGAGCTGGTGACACGCAGGTGAATCCGCAGGACCAGCACAAGCAGCTGTTGGCCCCAAACTCTCTCCCGGTGCTGCCTGTGAGAATCCATGCTCCCCACAGGAGTCCCCACGCCGTTGCTTTCAGCTCGTTGCTTTTCCACAAGCTCGGCCCGTTGCATTGAAGCCGGCACCATTCCAGCAGGGCTTGGACCTGGGACATCCCATCCTGCCAAATCCCAGGGTCATTCCCAGCAAGGAGTGCTTCAGCGATGCCATTTAGGGGCTTGGCAGTTCCCACCGAGGAGGTGGGACCCCTCTGTCTGTGACGAGGATGCTGGCATCCTCCTTGGTCCCCTGCGAGCTGGCAGCATCCTTCTGACAGAATCACAGAATTGTCCAGGTTGGAAAAGCCCCTCGGGATCACCGAGTCCAACCCTCAGCCCGACTCCACAAAGCTCTCCCCTACCCCACATCCCCCCACAGCTCATCCCAACGGCCCTGAAACCCCCCGGGGATGGGGACTCCCCCCTCCCCGGGCAGCCTGTTCCACTCTCGGACCACTCTTGCTGGGAAACATTTTCTCCTCCTGCCCAGCCTGACCCTCCCCTGGGGCAGTTTCCAGCCGTTCCCTCTTGTCCTGTCCCTGATCCCCTGGGAGCAGAGCCCAGCCCCAGCCTCTCTGCAATGTCCTGTCAGGAGCTGCAGAGAGGGATGAGGGCTCCCCTCAGCCTCCTCCTCCTCACACTGAACACCCCCAGCTCCTTCCCTGGCTTCTCACAGGATTTGCTCTCCCTGCATCCCCCATTTTCCACCCATCCAACTTGGTGCGCACAGAAGGCCGAGGACAGGCAGGCCGGTGGGTGGGCAGCCAGAACCACGGGCAGGATATAAAAAGTATTATCGGGAAATGCTCCCTTGCCTTGCTACCAGGGAGAATCGCAGGGCCCACTCGAGGAAAGCGCCTGGCAGGCAGGACCTGTATTTACCCTTTACGTAGCAACCCCGGGCTCCGCCGCCGGCACAGCCTCCATTAGCCACGGCACGTAATTGGGGGCAGGCAGCCCCGGGCTGTCAGATGGAGCTGGGGGGAGAGCGAGCGCTCACTGCTCGGCCAGATGTAGCCGGCAGCATTAGAGGGCTCATTAGTCACTGGGATCCGGGCAAGCTTAAAATGCTCCTGCTTGCACTTTCACCGACAGACGGATGTTTTCCTCGAGGCTGCTGCAGTTTCCCGATGCATTTCAGGGTCGGGGGCTCTGTAAAAGCCTTTGGGATGTGATTTGGAGCATCCCAGCATTGGGAGAGAACCTGCTGCCTCGGCCTGACCCCCACAGTGCATCCTGCTAAACCCCCCGGCCCTGAACGCCAGCCCTCAGCCTCCAGTTTCCCCCCGAGCAGGGGCTCACCCCAAATATCTCCTTGTCCCAAAAGCTCCTGCCCCTCAGAGCCCTTGTGTCTGGGCGGCATCAGCCACCACCCACAGCCTGAGGGGGATCCTGGCACCCCGGCATCTCTCCAGCCTCCCTCCCCAGCCCAACTGGGTGCCAAAGCCCGGGGACTCTATTAACACCAAGTCCCCGAGGTGTCATTAAGCCCCGGCTGCAGCACAGGGGACACCGCAATGCCGGGTGACATCACTGTGCCACTGGCCACCCCAGCAAGGGGCTGGGGCAGCCCAAGGTAGCACTGTGGCGAGGTCTGCCATGACCCTGACGGGGTTCAGCCTGGGCAGGCTCGGAAAAGTCCTGCCTGGAAAAGCACAGGGCTGAATTTGGCCATCTTGCTGGAGCCGGCGGCTGAAGGCATTCGGCGCTCCATGATGTGGAAGCCATCCTGCAGCTCTGCTCAGCACACAAATGCCAAATTTCCCATGGCTGGAGGGTCCCCAGCCCTGGGGCTGCCACCCCAGGATGACAGCAGGGGGACTAAGTTTTATTTCTCCAACAGTTTTGTCATCTCAGGTGCCACATGCCCCAACTCATCCCTTCTCTCGCCTCCAAAATGACAGGTTTGGCTCTTCCTCGGTGGGATTCAACTCTTCCCATACAACTGAAACTGGCTCTCGGCTTCCCAAGGAAACTGTTTGCTCTGACACATCTTGCAAATGGGACAAATTTGGAAACCACGCAGCTGGATCCTGCGGTGGCTGGTGATGTCAGACTCCACCAGCCATGCACTCCTGCCCGCAGCACGTGCCATGTCCCTTCAGTGTCCCCCTGGATGTCTCAGCCTGGAGCAGGGAAGCATCTTGCTGCCCTTGCCCGTGGCCCTGTGAGCTCAATCCATCCAGGAGAAGAGACAGGAGCAGCAGCTCCCAGCCAGTGTTTGGCCGGGGGTGAGCCGGGTGCCATCCTCCTGGGTTCCTTGGTGGTCAACCAGCCCAAGGAGGTGATGGGCTTCATCTTATCCCAGGGACAGCAGTCGCTTGGCTGGCAGCAAGATGCCAAGAGCGATGCCCAGACGGTGGGAGCACCCCAGCCCGGCAGCATGGTCCCACAGACGCTCCCGGCTCTGTCCCAAGTCCTCACTGGTGTGGGCACGGGGCCATGGCCTGTGCCGGGCCAAGACCCAGTGCACCAAAATGCAGAGGCCTGGCTGATGCACTGGGTCCCCTCCCCGGAGGGTGCTTTGGGGTGATCTCAGGGATGGGGACCCCCCTGGGGACATCAGGGCTGACTCAAGGCTGCCTGGCTTTGCCCCTCAGAGCCAGGGTCCTTCCGACCAGCTGTCCTTCCCTCCCGGCTACCTCCGTCCCTAGCAGGGACCTGGCCTGGCAGGAGATGCCCGCAGCACCCAGCTGGGGGGGCCAGCAGCCCAGGGAGGATCCACACCACTCCCTGCACCTGCCATGTCCCCCCACCCCGTATCCCCGCCAGACCC